CATTCAACGAAAACAATTTTCATTTCCCTCCAAAAGGAGTTACATTTTTTAATTAATTACTCACTAATCTATTAAAACAGTTAAACCTTAATATATTTTTTTTATTATTTATTTTTTTGATCAGTTACTAAATTAATTCTAATTTGGTAGCGAAATATTCAAATATGTAACGGGTAATGTTGAAACTTAAAGTTGACTGGCACATTCAGAGTTGTAACCGCTATATTTGGTTGCATTGCTGGAAGAAAAAATATGATTGACACTTATTTTTTTTTCTGAAAATCAGAAACACCAATAATTTTTTTATTTATGATAATTCTCTTTAAATATGCCACGAATATATAAATTATTTTATTCATGTTACTAATGTAAACGTTGCATGGTTAAAATAAAATTTAAATCTCAATTAATTTTGATGATAAAAATAACTTATGAAAAAGTAATAATTTTTATATGATATGAGTACATGTCTAATTAATAAATACAAACAAAAACGTGTTTTATATCTGTGCAAATGCACATGATCAAATGTGTACTGCACGTGTCGCTAAGTTGGACGGAGAGGGGAAAATCATGCAACAGTTCCTTAATACAATGGGGTCTAATGCAATTTTTAAAATACTAGTGGAAAATGCGCAAATTTTGTATAATACATGGTGTTCGTGTATATTTTACCTGTTAGATAACCCACAAATTGAAATTTTCGTAATTAAAGCTTTCTTTGTAAAATATAAGATAATAGAAAAAAGTCACATATATAATTATACCAAAAAGAATTTATACATACTTGTTATAAATCTGATGGGACATAAAATCTTAATCGAAAACTAACAACGAGCGAAAAATAACATATAATTTTTTAATTTACAAAATTTTAAATAATAAATTAACATTATATTTCAAATATTATGTGTTATTAGCCTAATACGAATCTTGGAATTTTAAATTTTAGTGAAGCTTGGCTTGCGTTGAAACTTGAAAGTCACAAGGCGATTTGTCATAAGATTGGTCATACTTGATAGCTGCCATATATATGATTCTTTTGTCTGAAGAAACAAGCCCGCGTATGATAATCAAATATTTACGAGCTAGATAATTATGAAAAAAGACCAAAAAAAAATTAAATAAATAAAAAAATATAAAAACAAAGCAAGTTGAATTGATAATTTGATTTTCTTTTTAGACGACTAATAAAGAAGGAAAAATTGCTTTGCTTAAAATCAACAAATAAATCATATGCTCTCTTTTGAAATTTCAGTCTTAAAATGGGTCTTTCTTGCTTTGAATTTTTTTATTGAGCATAATAATGTGTTTGAAGTCAAATTTGTCACTTATTTATTAGAATAGGACAAAAATCTCACAAGAAAAGTGCATTTAATCGCATGCCACTTTATTTGTAAATCTACAATCTATACACAAGACCCGATTGCTTGTGCCATTGATAACATTTTACATAAATGACAATGTCAACATTAAAATCTTCCCTCTCTATAAAATCTCAATTTTACATGTGAATAAAGACATATCACCACTCTGAACCAGTTATGGCGCCCAAACCCATCCCCCACAACACAAAATCATTTTATTTCCCTAAACACATGAAATTGTGTTTACCATCATTTGGGGCAACTCTAATTCTTTTCACTCTATGGATCTATAACAAAGAGCCCCGCTTTTCGCCATCCTTGTCCAAGCCCAGCACCAAAGACCCTGTCCAAGAAACATTTTACGACGAACCAAATATCCGTTACACGATGGACAAGCCCATCGACAATTGGGATAGGAAAAGAGGCCTTTGGCTCAGAAACAACCCAAATTTGGCATCAAATAATAGTGTGATGGTTGTAAGTGGTTCTAAGCTTTCCCCTTGCAAATTCCCAATTGGAGATCACTTGTTGCTTAGGTTTTTCAAGAACAAGGTTGACTATTGTAGGATTCATGGGTACAAAATTTTCTACAACAACGCTTATTTGGAGCCCAAGATGAGATCTTTTTGGGCCAAAATACCTGTCCTCAAGGCTGCCATGTTGGCCCATCCAGAAACGGAGTGGCTGTTTTGGGTCGACTCGGATGCAGTTTTTACGGATATGGAGTTTAAGGTTCCTTTGGAGAGGTACAAAGATCATAATATGGTGGTCCACGGTTGGCCCAATATGATCTACGAAGATAAGAGCTGGGTGGGGTTGAATGCAGGTGTGTTTCTGATTCGCAACTGTCAGTGGACTATGGAGTTTTTGGATGTTTGGGCCAATATGGGCCCAATGAGCCCAGACTACAACAAATGGGGCGAAATCTTATCACAGACTTTGAAGGACAGAATGTTCCTGGGTGCGGACGATCAATCGGCCCTCGTTTACTTGCTTCTTAAAGGAGATAAAAAATGGACTAACAAGATTTACGTGGAAAATCAATATAATTTGCACGGCTATTGGCTAGAACTAGTCAAAAAGTTTGACAATATTGCTGAGAAGTACATAGAGATCGAAAAACGTGACAAGATGCTTAGGCGGCGGCATGCGGAGGTTACGGGTGAGGCTAAGATGCGGAGGAACGTGGTCGAGGGTCTCGATGACTTGCGGCGACCATTTGTGACCCATTTTACGGGGTGCCAGCCGTGCAATGGGGAACACAACGTAATTTACAAGGAGGATTCTTGTTGGGTAGAAATAGAGAGAGCACTAAATTTTGCAGATAATCAAGTGCTTAGGAATTATGGGTTCGTGCACCCAAATTTAAAGGATGGGTCGCTCGTGAGGCCGTTGCCCTTTGACTACCCGAGTGGTCTTCGATGAGGTCACTCGAGAAAATAATAGGAGTTTATTTATTTATTAAATAGCAGGTATGATGCGGATATATTATTATTATTATTATTATTATTATTATTATTATTATTATTATTATTATTATTATTATTATTATTATTATTATTATTATTATTATTATTATTATTAGTTAGTAGCTTGGTGGACAAGTTTGCTTTTAGGGTTGTAGTGTCTTATTTAAAGACTTTTTGTCTTTGTTATCTGGGAGTTGATCTTGAATGAAAAAAGATATTGTTGAGTTTTACGTGTTTTACGAGAGAGTATCTCGTTTACTCGTTTTATCCTTCCCACTTGTACGCCTTCCCTACATCAGTTGGTATCCAGAGACCGGGTACGTTCCACGATGCCGCCAATGAGAGGAAACAACAACGATCCTACCATCTACGACCGATTGCAACGGATGGATGATCGGATTCACAGTATGGATGATCGGGTTGATGAACTTTCTATGGGGATCGACGAATTACGCCAGACAATGTATACCATGATGAACGAGGTACATACGAACCGCAAAGGGGCTGCACGGGGCCATTGCGGAGGGATACGCGGAGGTAGTGGGGGTCGAGGTTATTGCGGGGCGCCGCGCCGACGATCACCACCGCCACCGTTGACCGGTGATGTTTTCGACGAAATATCGGGTGACCACGACTTACGGTGGAGTGCTGTTTTCGACAAACCTCCACGCAGGGCCGATGGCAGCGAGCGCACGGGTGAGTAAAACCTAGGAGCGGCCCGATTTCGCAGTCAACAGCAATCTAAGTAGGGTTTTGACTACCTATTTTGGGCCAATCGCGCAACCCTAGGTGGCGTTCGAACAGCTTCAGGCTTCCACCATCGTGAATTTCGCAGACGGGGGCCCGATCGATGGGACTCAACCTTCGTCACTAGGTTCGATTTGCCGCGCCGCCACTTGGATGATGGTTGCGAGGCTGCCGACGACGGCGGCACTTACCGACAGCGACTGGAGGTGCCCGTTTTCCACGAGTTGCTCTTCCCCGTGAAAAATTTTCGTCGTGTTGAGGCGGGCTGGGGTCGGGTTGGGCACCGCATCACTGAGGACGCCGGCGACTACCGTAGTCGCGCTTCCTGGCAGGGCGGACAAACCCTCGGCGATTTGTGGTGCCGCGCACAACGGAGGCCAGACGGCGGACGTGCAGCAGACTCAGAATTTGACGGCCGACGCGCTGTTGAGGGAGGGCCCGATTGTCCAGGGCGCGACCGGCGAGGGACTGGCGCCGAATTGGCGGAGGTGCAGGGACGAGAATTTTCTGGTTGCTGGTGTCGCGATTTGGGGGCTGCGCAGAGTCGTAGTAGAGAAGCAGATTTCTTGCACCCTTTTGGGCTTTTGCAACGGCCCAAATCCGTTTATTGGTCCCAGGTGAGGGATATATTTAATTCAGATTTTTGGGCCTGTGAGGTAGCTGCGGAAGTTGGGCTTGTACAAAGTGATTTTGGGAGCGATTTTGGTCAATGGGTGGGCCCGTTTTGCGCTGATATCTCTGACTTCGACGAGGATCACGTTGACGGGCCAATTTACGACGGTCTGCCTATTTTTGATGAGGATCCTCCGGTGCCGGAGATACATATTGACGGCACTTTGGGCTCCACGTGGGACATCCTCCCGATGGTTCCTTTGACCGAACACCCGTCGTTTGGACCGAATTTTCAACATATTTTTGCAACGGATGGTTTTTTGGAAGCGCCTTCGGGACTCAATAGCTGTCGGGACATTGTTGGATTGTTTGTTACGAAGTCTTCCCCCAGTGGACGTTCTGGCTGTAGTGATTATGGTTTTCATTCGGCTTCTGGGATTCTGCATCGGGAAGTAGGCCCCTTTGTTTTTTCGGCCGTTGTATACGTGCCCGAATTTGTGTTCGCCGGTGCGATTGGATGACCTTCGAGCTTCGTGTTCGATCGGGGAAAATCTGGATTATTCCTGTCCTGGTGACTTCTCCAACGGGAACAGGTCGGATTCGAGGCCGAATCCTGTTCAACCGGGGGAGAATGATGAAGAATATATATATGTTTATTATTATTATTATTATTATTATTATTATTATTATTATTATTATTATTATTATTATTATTATTATTATTATTAGTTGCTTGGATATTAAGCTAGGGTTGAGTTTGAAGACTTTATTTAAAGGGCTCTTCTGTTTTGGTGGGGAGCAGAATTTGATGAATGAAAATAATTGATCGTGTTTTCTTTTGAGAGAGTATCCCGTGTTCTGGAGAAAGTATCTCCTTGTATCTTCCCGTTCGTTCACGTTTTCGCTACATCAAGGTATTTGCTAGAGATTTTCTATTTGGTGAGGAACCAATCTAATATGCGCACTTATGTACTACTAGTATTAGAAAGTCGAATAAAATAGAGAATGGAACTAATGGATTGAGAAAATGAACATCATCTCTAGTTACGGTTGCCCCACTGACTTCTTTCCTTTCACCCGTGGTCTTCGGAAGGGAGATCTCTTATCCCCCTCCCTTTTTTTTCCTGGAGGCGGACTACTTGTCTCGCTGCGTTGACGGTTTCATTTGCGACTTCCCGAGGATGACCTATAGCACGTGTGGCTATGGTCCTTCCTCCCTCATCTCGCACCTCTTTTATGTGGATGACATTATTTTCTTCACTCGCGCGGATAATAATGGACTGGCCGAACTCATGCGCCTCCTGGGACATTATAGCTCAGTCTCTGGTCAGTTGGTCGGTGTGCAAAAGAACACTTTCACCCATGATCATCACATTGCAGACCAGTAGGCCCATTGGGTCAACGAGCGCATTAGTTTTGCGCGTGGCGACCTTCTCATCAACTATCTTGGTGCCCCCCTGTACAAGGGGCATCTCTCGCATGAGCTCTTTATTGTCATTAGGCAGAGGATGATTGACTGGATCTCTAGCTGGTCTCACAGACACCTTTCTTTTAGAGGTCGGTGTTTGTCCAATTTTTGTGTCGTTTTTAGTTATTATTTTACCGTTCTTTTTCCCCCGTATTGAGTCGTTTAGGTGGTTTTAAGATCTTTTTGTCATTTATTATGTGTTTTGCGTTCATTTGAGTGTTGCGGTGTTTTCCGTTTGTTTTTCGGTCTTTTTCTGCTCTCTTTTCGTTTTTGGTGTGCAGGTCAAAAATCCCGTGACGAATAGATTTCTCCCAAAACCTGACCATTCAAGAACAACTAAGTAGAAGGGTCAGTTGGCGACAAGTGGGAAAAAGCGGAATTTGATTTCGAGTTCGGACGAGTCCGAACGGGGCCGAAATACAAAGTCACGCAAGTTGCCGATACTTTGTAAGTTGGAAATCTCAAGAGGATTGTATTCTGGGAAAAGGTTTGTTTTTCTAGCATATTTGAATAGAGGGGTTCGTCGGCGACACATAGGAAAAAATGGAATCGAATTCCGGGTCCGAACGAGCGTAAACGAGCCCGAGACGCGAAGAAGGACTAGCTGCCAGGCACCGCGCGCGCGCCGCGCTGCTACGCACGCCGCGACTCGGACAGAGACTCCCAGGCTTACGCGCGCTGCGGCGCGAAACTCACCGCGACACGATAGCAGCAGTCATCGCGGCGCGACGCACCTCCGCGGCGCGACAGAAGCAGTCCTCGCGCGCGCGATGCATCACCACGGCGCGGCACGGACCCTCTCCACAGCGCGAGACCCCTTCGCGGCGCGGCATGAGCAATTCTCACGAGCGCGAGACTCCTTTCACGGCGCGGCACTACTCCCTTATATATATAGCAATCGGGACTTCACAGAAAAAAAAACTCTCGACCGTGGTACCAACCCTAGGTCTCGAGAAAAATCACGACACTCTTCCTCCTTCCTTCTCTTCTTCTTCTTCTTCTAATCTTTTTCTTCTTAATTTCTCCATATATTTTCCTGTTTTCTTCTTCATCTTGCACTGGGATCAAGCTTGTAATAAGGATTCAACTCTTGATTGAGTTTTATTGTAAAAATTTCTTCTATTTCAATTCATGAAAAATGGTTGTTTTTGGAGAAATAATTATGTGTGTTGAATTCCTTTTACGTAGCTAAATCTCATTTCTAGGGATAGGGGATTGATATTCTGAATTCAACCATAATTGTTGAGCTTGTTGATTATTCAATTCATGTGAGTTGTCCTGATTAGGGTTTGATGAGATTGTGTTTGAATGATGAAAATTATTGAAGGAGTGACACTTCAATTTTCAATTACTTGTTGGTTGGGGTTTGATTCATTCTTGCATTTTTGTGTTGATCCCTTTGTTTAGATTGATTAAAAACTATCTAAGCTAATTAATTGACTCATTGAATTGAAAGAGAAGGAGTCGATAGACCATGGCTCATATGAAATTGACTTGTTCGTAACTGTATTTCCAATGTGTTAAAAGGCTCGTTGATTTGTCGTTCATGTTCAAGCTCTTGTTACGAAAGTTATTGAGGACGAATCTCTGAACTATTAAGTTACCGATTCCTTTTAACCGAATGATCTCTTGATCGACACTTGCTCTTTGAACCAAAACGGATATCCCCGACTCCCTATCTTCTTTATCAATTTGCATTTTAGGTAGATTTATTTTCATACTTTCCCTTAGTTAATTATTATCTTCATCATCTGATTTAGAGTGTTTAGGTTTATTTTCTCTTCTTGTGTTATCAACACCATTGCTAAATTCCGAACCGCCTTCCTCGAGATATCGACCCGGGGATCGAATCGTCAGATTCAGTACTCGGTAAAAATATAATTTGCTACAACAAATTTGGCGCCGTTGCCGGGGACGGCAAGTAGGATATTTAGTTTTGGTGTTTGATCTTATTTTCTGTGTTTCTCTTTAGTTTTAACATTTTTAGTGTTTTTGTTCCTTTTGTGCATTTGTGTTTTTCTCTTCTATTCTTGTTTTAGTTTTTATCTTCTTTTCTCCTCCATTTTTCTTGGCTACGCGTGGTTGTTTTGTTCTGGTGTGCGAGTACAATGAATTTCAATCACTAGTAC